CCTGCGCGGCTCCAGTCGCGGAGGCGGGCGGGCGCGGCGGGGGGCAGACCTGCAACGGCTGCGGCTTCACTTTATCGCATTTCCATCCCTCCCTGCACTCGCATGGCTTTTCCCATTGCGCCAGTCTGCTGCTCCCACTTCTGAACTACCTCATCCCTTCTACCTCCATCTGCACCCTCCTCTTCCTGTTCAATCCTCCCTCCTCCCTCCACCGTGCTCATTTCTCCTTACTCCCTTCTCTGCTCCTCCTACGTGGGGCGTTTCACGACAACGACGACGACGATGACCACGACGGCGACAACGAGGGCGACGACGACCACGACGACGACGACGACGAGGACGATGACCACGACGGCGACCAGCGACGACGACTAGCGACGACAACGACCGACGACGACGACGCCGGCCACGACGACGACGGCGACGACGACAACGAGCGACGACGACAACGACAATCGACAACGACGAGGAACGACGACGACGAACGAGGACGACGATTACGACGACGAGATGACGAAGGTTCGAAGATCGAACCTCGAAGTGCGAAGCTTCGAAATTCAAACTGCAACCTTCGAACTCCGAACTTCAAACTTCGAACTGCGAACTTCGCTGGGGTGCCAGGGATGCAATGGGATGGAGAGAAAAATGGGAAGGAGAGAACGAGGAAGCGGGAGTGGAAATTGGAGGAGAACGAACAGGCGTGGAGCGACGAGGAACGGGCGGCGAGGAGCCGACGTTGAGGGCGGCGGGATGGGGGGACAGGGAGGAGAGGGAAGACTTCTTTACGAAGATCGCGCCACGGCGCCTGCACGAGCGCCCCCGATCTCGGCGGCCGACGCGCGCGCCCCTGCAGAAATGCAACGCGCCCTTCATTCGAGCCCCGCTGCTGCTGCGGAGCCATCTACTCCGAAACCAAATCGTCTGGGGAGTTATTCGGTCCCAAAACTACTGTTTGCCACCCGCTGCTGCGGACGCCGAGGGCCTGGTGCTGGACGCCGCGGCCCCGCTGCTGCGGGGCCCCTGAGAGGGCGTCGGCCTCCCCTTTCTCTCTGGCGGCGTCGAACTTGACCTTACGCTCCACACCGAGGTCCTTGTACCAGCGAAAAGTTCCTGACCCGTCGCTCCCGCCCAAACCCGCGGTTGGTGGCCTCACCGTGTCCGCGCGGGGGGCGAGGGGCAGAGCTTCGACCTTCCTGTCGCCCCAGTGCGGGTGTAAACGGACGCCTGTCCCGTCGTCGCGGTGCAACACGAAATCCCACATCGGCAGCTTCACTTTCACCCGCTGCCCCGCGAACTGTCGCGCGCGCACATTACTCTGACGCATGTGGTCGTAGCTGTTTGGCCGGACTTCGAGGGAACAGCCGATCAGAGCCCCGCTGCTGCGGGGCCCCTCCACGACCTCCCTGATATCTTCCTCCCTGGGCGTCGCCACCATCTCTTGCCACCGCCAAGGGACTTCCTCGTCGCTTTTGAAACCAAAGCTCGTCCTCGCACCGTGGTCGCAAACAGCGACCATGGTGGGCTTCGCATAGTCAAACCACTTGGCTTCTGACTCGAACGGGGCAGTTGGGTCTTCATTCAGATGGCGCCACCATTTCAACGCATGATTGTGTTGCTTAAACGAAGTGCCGAGCCTCTCTTCATAACTCAAAAAAATAATTAACATCAAACTTCTCAAAATCCTGGGGCCCGCGCGCCGCCGCCGCTGCGGTGGCGCGGGGCTCCTGCGCCGCAGGCGCGGCTCGGGATCCCGACCCCTCTCCTGAAACTGTGTTCCCAAGTTCTGGTACGTTTCGGAGGGCAGCCCTCACGAAATTATCGAATTCGGGCTTGCCGAGACCAGGGGCGCGGGGGCTCACAACGCTAAGCGCGGCGAAGCGAGACGGCCGTTGAGGACGAGACCGCCGCCGCTGCTGCGGCGGCAGGGCCATCGCGCCATTTGGCGTCCTCCGTTGGCGTGTGCCCGTCTTGTCGCCAGTCTCTCCAACCCCTCGCTGACCAATCATGGCCGTCCTCCCAGCCACGCCAGCCGCTGCTGCGGCTATCCCACCATCCTCCCGCGCCATCCCATGTGTATCCGCCTGCATCGCCCATTGCAAGACGATGGCGCAGGCGCGCGTTAGGCCGCGACGGGCCCAGCTGCACCGGTGCTCGCGGGCGATCCCACGGGCGCGGGGTGGTTTGAGCATAGCGGCGGCGGACGACGCGACGTGATTGGACGGCGGAGAACTTGAAAGGAAGGGGGGTTGGAAACGAATGAACGAAGTGGACGAAGAGCGGAAATCGAACCAGAGGGGAGGCGAAAAAAGAGCGGAAAAGAATAAGGACATGCAGACGAAGGAGAGTGACGAGGTAGATGGCGGGCCAGAACGGCAACGGAGGATAATGTGGTGGAAATTGTGAAAAGGACGCATGGAAAAACACGACGAGGATCACAGACGCAAAGATGATGAGCGCAGTGGTAGCATGACATATCCGAAATCAAGAAGCAGGATGAGGAGGAACGGGATGACGAGCAACTCTGTCGCAGAGAGCCTCCGAACGCACCCCCTCTGTCACAGAGGGCCTCCGAACGCACCCCCTCTGTCACAGAGGGGGTCCGAAAAACACCCCCTCTGTCACAGAGGGGGGAAATGATCACTTTAATGCGGCTTCTGGATTAGTGGGTTTCATCCATCTGAGCGGAAGCAGCATGCGGGGCGCTGCCAGATTCGGCGTATCCTGCCCCACAGTGTAGAGCAATGCGAAGCAGAGCAATGCAATGAGATGCGGAGTAATATCAGTGGGAAGGGGCGAACGGTCAATCACTGTTCCTGGGTGCGTGGCTGAATTGGCATTCCGCGACGCGGACTCTGCTTGTCTCTTATCGCTATCCCACGTGCGACCCGGCCAGCGACCCACGCGCGATTTACCCCGCGACCCACCCGCGCCCGCCCCCTCAGTCTTCTCCGCAACTGCGGGGCGCTATATACACTAGCAGCTCGAAGACAAGAAACCTTCCACAAGAAACCTTCTGAGACCCCAGGGCATCCATGGATTTCGGGGTGGGAACCTCGCGCTCCATCGCAAAACCACCGGAATCCAAGAAACCCAAGGCACCCTGGAGGCAAGTAGGGTGATTCTTGGCAGGGGCCTCCCCTGTGTCCGCCACTGCGGGGTGCGATGTAAGCTAATTAATATGCAATGGCGCATCGCGACGCAAAACAATGCGACACCAAATCGGGATCTTCTGACCCGGGTCAATCCAGGGACCCGGGTCAGTCAGGCCTTGCCGAATCCCGCAAATCCTGCAAGATCCTGCGCCCAAGCCTGGGTCAGCGCGCAGGATCCCACAAGATCCTGCAGGATCCTGCGCCCACACCCGGGTCAGTGCGACCCTGGCCCTGCAGAATCCTGCAAGACCTGGCGCTCTGGCTGACGCCCGTTTGCGTTGGACCCCGCCGCAAGGCTCCCGACCAAAGCGGCAGCGGGCGCCAGGCGAGCCCGGCCCGACGCAATGCCGGCACGGGGCGGCAGTGCGGGCGCCGACGAGTGGCACTACCAGCAGTGCTGCCCCTAAGAGCTGGTAGCAATGCTCGGTGGCCATGGGTTAAGTCGGGCGTGTCCCCCTACGAGGGGGTTTTCGACGAAAAATAAAACATACCCCCAAGATAATAAAACCATAGTCCCAAAAATAGTCTGGGGACTATTGTTTGACTATTTCGTTGACCTTCTTGGGGCATGTTTGGAACATGTTTTTATTTTTCGTCGAAAATCCCCCTGTAGGGGGACACGCCCGAAATAAGCCATTGGGGGGGAGGGAGTGCAGCGGGGCCCTGCAGGACTTCTGAGGCGGCGGCGGGGCTCCTCAGAAGCCCATCGGGCCTTCCGACACGCTCCTCTGCCTTCGGGGGCGGCGGAGAACCCTTCTCAACAGGGCCGGTGCCTGCCGGTGCTTCTGGGGAGGCCCGCCCCTCTGTCGCTTCCCGCCCGGACGTGCCGCCGAGCTGCGCAAGCGCTCCCATTCTCCCCCCCCCTGTACTGCAGTCTTCCGGCGCAGTGGCTTGTTCTGCATGCAGGGGCCTCTGCCAGGATGACCGTGGGGGTTTCTAAGTGGATAGGGGGGGTTACAAGTGGATCCTGAGATGGGTGATCTCTGGCCCACCCTTGCTCATAAATGGGCTACACATGCCCCAAGTAGCTCAGGGGGTTCACGATCCGGGCTAAATAGGCTCCGCCCACTTAGCGGAGGTATCCAGCCCCCGTAAGACACTCGGGGAATGTGTAACTCACTTGCGAGCCAGCTTGGGCCAGATACAACCCACCTTGGCATCCACTTGTAACCCCCTAGCAGGTCATCCACTTAGAACCCCCCACCGCCATCCCAGTATCCGCTCCCTGGAGCCAGCGTTTCATCCCGAATCGCTGCTTGACGGCCCTGGGCGCAGACGAGGGCCCCCAGCACCGGAGACACGGAAGAACCTCCACACGTCCTGGGATCCCCCCCCCCCGAGCTGAGATCCCCCACGAGCTGGGCCCTGGAAGCTGCAGGTTTTTTTTTACCGTTTCCAACAAATCTCTTGAAAATGGAGACGACAAAAAACACAGCGACCGGAAACGGGAAACACACGGCTCCAGGATTGGAACCGGAGCCAGAACCGGTAACAAAAAACGGCGACGGAACTTGTACCAACAACGGCGCCGGAGCCAGCAATAAAAATACGGCAAAACGGCATCAGTAAACGAACTGCCCTGTCGCTTCCAGGGCCTACTACGCCCCAGAGATCAAATTTTGATTTTTTCCAGATCAAATTTTGATTTTTTCCATGCGGGTTCCCCGGAAGTCTCGACCCATTCAGGACCAGTTTGTCATTCTGAGCCCTTCTTTAACGCTCCCGAGGCACGGTGAGGGCCTCTGGGGGCTGAAATTTGGGAGAAAACCTCCGTCGGGACTTTTTCACCGCGTTGGAGAGCTCTGGGGCCCCAGAAGCCCCCGACGCGACGACGAAGCAGCCGCTCTCCGCGAGGTGCGCCGCGAGCGGGCCGCTGGCGATGAAGGCCCAGAGGCGGACGCCGCTCCACGCGACGCCCTCCCTGGCGGCCCTGGTGACGCCCCTCTCGTCGGCCGCGGGCAGCCTCTGAGAGGGAGGCAGAGGAGGAGGGGGCTGAGGAGGAGGAGGGGGAGGAGGAGGAGGAGGAGGAGGAGGAGGAGGAGGAGGAGGAGGAGGAGGAGGGAGGCGAAGGGGGGAGGCAACGAAAGAACGAGGATGCAGGATAAACACGCGCATATCCGATTCTGGGCCGCGGGGAAAACGGGGAGAGGAGCGGAGCTGTCAAAGCAGGGGGGCGAGGAGAAGGGCACAAAGGGGGGGCTTGAAGATCCGGGCGTCCGTGATCAGTCCGTCGATGACCGCATCGGATAATCAACAAGAAGCACAGCCCCTGGAATTGAAGGGGGCTCCCGCTCGAGACCTTCCCGCTCTGGTTCACAAACGAGGCTACCGCTCGAAACTTCCTCATTGTTCAGGCGTCCGGAGCCTAAGAGCGACGACGGCTACAGGTTCTCCGCTGGCCGCCTCGGATTACGAACGTAACGCGGGGGCCCACAAGGGAGGAAACACCCACTCGACACTTCCTCGCGTCTCGCTCACAGGCGACGCCTCCACGCAGAGGTCCTCGATATGCAAGCCCTGGGAGCACCAAAGCGATATCGGTTACAAGTTTCCCGATGACCGCCTGGGCGCACAAACGCGAAATAGGATACCTCCTCGCAAATCACTCGCACACACGGTTGCCAGTCGAGACTTCCTGCAAAATCACGGGTGCAGAGCGTGCGAGAATACGTTGTGAATGTTTGTTCAGCAATGATGAGCATGACCGTGATGTAATGGTCGATGATCATGACGGCGATGGTAATGATGTAATGGTGAGGACGACTATGCTGATGTGAGTGGACACCATGGTGACTATATGGCACACCGTCTTCTATGTGAGATCGAAAGTGATGAGTGTGTGAACGTGGTGGTGACGATGGTGATTGTGTTAACGATGCCGGTGTTGATGTTGAAGGAGGTGATGGTCCTGGTGTGGTGGTGATGGTGAAAAAAAGGGGAGAGGAGGATAAGGTCCCAGATAAAAATCCCGCTTGGCATGTGGATCTTCAAGATAACAGGTCGCCGCGTGTCTGTTGTACAAAGACATATGCATATATATATATATACACATACACATCTACACATACATGTCGATATACGCATACACAAAAGACATGAATAAACCAATGCGGGTGCCGCGTATCACCGCGCCGCTGCGATTCGGAACCCGCCAAGCCACCCTGACCGATGCTCCAACACGATTCAGAGATGCATGCGTTACCGCTGAAGCGTGCGTCTGGCGACGATGAACCACGCGCGCGCTACGCGCGCGCTTAGGTTCGAGTCGCAGATGAGCCACGGGCACCGCTGTAAGCCGCGCTGTGGCCACAACGACGATTTCCAGCGTTCTCGGGCACATGCCATCGACGCAAAGAGACGCGTTGTCAGAACGCGGGGCGCCACGTTCCCGCGATTCTCATAATCTCGCTGCCGCCTTTGTTTGGTTAATCGAACTGTAATTTGTTCTCTCCACTTTCACTTCCGCTCTGCCCCGCCGTGACATTCAATGTTTTTGCACATCAGCTCGGTCTCCCCATGCCCGATCGCGCAGACATCCGTCGGTCCCTGATGTTGGGGTTGCCTCGGGGCCTCGTTGCGCGCGCGTGGGGGCGCGTTGTTTTTGTTCCTTTCCCTCGTGTTCCATGCTTCCCGTCTTCAATGGTCGTTCAGCGTTCGGGTATCTGCAGAAGGCGCGCGCAAATGTCCCGGTCATCAACGCCCTTCTCTGCAATCCGGGGGGGCTTCTTTGTGCTGGGCGCCAAACCTCATGGTGGCAATGATCGCACCCGTGGGAACAGAAGGTTCGGGCTCAAGGGGGATGCTCAATGATTTACCTGGCAAGTCCCATGTATGGGGTTCGCTGGAGCTCTGACGGGGCTTCTGGCGGCACCTTCTTGGCGCTCTGGCGAGGCCTTTCAGGAAGTGAGGGAGGGACGCGAAAACCTAAGAATGTGCATCGTGTAACCACACCCCGCTCGCTCGGGCGGGTCCGCCCTGCAAGGTTGGGAGGAGCAAGAATCACGTGACAGAGTATGGTGTAACTTGTAACGGGTGCCCTGCACTCTCTGGCAGGGGGTTCCCTGGCGCTCTGACGGGGCTTGCCCGGGAGGGGAGGGGGGAGCACGAAACCTGAGGAACATATGGTATAGCCACACCCCGTGCGCTCTGACGGGGCTGCCTCGGGTGCGGCGGGAGGAGCGACACCCCTCTCGCTCTGCCGGGGCCGCCTTTCAGGGGTGGGAGGGGCAAAGCAATTTGTGAAATGATAGGTACGGAGGTGAGGGGGTGAGATCGAAGTGGAACGGAGAGCCCCCCTACTGGGAAATCCATTTCGGTTTCGTGTTCGTGCGTGCCGTGCGGGCGAGGCGAAGCTGCGTGGGCGGGCGAGAGAAAGTCTCCTGTGGCTGAGGCGCGGCCGGACCAAATGTCTCCCTTCCGGGCGGCCGGTGGACCGCGTTGTCCCGCGGTGGTCCCGTCGGTGAAAAGATGATGGATGATGAGGATGATGATGATGATGATGATGATGATGATGATGATGATGATGATGATGATGATGATGATGATGATGATGATGGCAAGGATGATGATGACGATGATGAGGATGGTGGTGGTGATGCCGATGATGACAGGCCAGGTTCTCAGAATGGAGTGCGTTGGTTTCTGAATTTTCCTGGGAGTTGGTGGCCGTTTCCAGGGATGCAGAACGAGGGGTGGGGAGGAAAGGGCATGAGGAATAGCCGGGGGAGTGAAGGCTTCTCCTTCCCCTCCCCCTTTTCGTCTTTCCTCCTCAAGTGAATTGCCGACACAGGCGCGCCTGGCACCACCCAAGGAGGGCGACATGTCAAGTTGTGCATACGAGTGGCGCAGGTCCGCTGGACATGGAGCTAAGGAAAGCGTTGACGACTGCACGACTGGTAGCGCCCTAGTTTGGCGAGAGAAGACAAGAAGCAACCCATCATGGGGCGCGATGAGGACGGCGGGAAACGCGAGCGGGGAGGAGGGAGAGGGGAGGGGGGATGAGGCGAGAGGAAAAGCATGGCTCCGTTCGAGACAAGGACACAGCACGCGGTTCTGGAGACATCCAGTCTGAACTCCTCCTCCTCCCCCTCCCCCTCCTCCTCCTGCTCCTCCTCCTCCTCCTCCTCCTCCTCCTCCCTTGGAGGCTTCCCAACTCGGGTCCCAGTGAATGGGGTCGGAGCATCGCGCCGCATCGCCGATGCATCGCCAATGCATCGCCCGTGCATCGGCGACGTCTGCGATGAATCGA